CGCAAAGGACCACGACCTCAAGACTCTACTGACGACATTCCGGCTGCATCAGCCGAAGAAAATGAAGAAGTACCTCAAGCTCCAACTCCCCCGCTCCAACAAGAAGCAGTTCTCCAGGAGAACGTGCCTGAGTCTGACCCTCCAACTCGTCAAGTGGAGGCTGAAAATGTTGGGGCTGCCACAACCAATACCGAAGCCGATGTGGAGCCCTCCCCACCCAAAGCTTCAGAAGACAGTGAAGCTACTGATCCAGACACGTCTGTTCCTGAGTCTGCTGCAGGCCTCCAATTTGATTACCATGTTGAGCACAGGCCTCAAGTCCAGACGCCAATCCCAAGACTGCCAAGGTTCCCAGGTCCTGCAGCACCTGGTTCCTTCAACATCAATAGCTTCAAGGAAGATAATACGTTCTTCAACAGCTCCAAGAACCCCTATTCAAGGGAACGGATTGCATCAGATAGGTTCTGGAGCTATCCTCAGCGCGACTACTATTCATGCATCCTATACAACCAAGGTCGCATCTTCCCGCACAAGCGCCTTGATGTTGAAGCCATTGCTGGTCTGCCCTGTTTAGAGGAAGCTTTGGATTGCTTTAAGCAAGTGGGTCTGCTATAGTTTTTCACTGATGAAGAGCACTAGAATGAAGAGCTTCTGCTTCAATTCTATGCCACCCTCCATATTAAAGGATACAACAGAGATCCGAAGACTTGGGTCCTGGAGTGGATGACTGGCAATGTCCATCATGAAGCCAATGCATTTGATATCATTGAGCTCACCGGCCTGCCCACTCCTGGTGAATTCTTCGAGGAAGGCTGTCAACTACATGCTGAAGCTATTGAGAGCATATTCCAGAGGCCTGAACCAAATATGAGTCAGATGCTCTCAATGATGAAGCCATTGCCCCATGATGCTCCTTATCCAACAGAGTTCTTCGTTGAAGACCTTGAGTACCTGCCCCGAACCATCTATCACATCATCCGGCGGACTCTCTGGCCCATTAAGGGACACTCCCCACATGCCAAGATTGAGGGTGCAATGAAGACTCTAATATTTTGTATCATCCATGGCAAATGCTTCAACGCTCAGGACTTCTTCATCCACCAACTAGCTGCATCAGGCTCAGATTTATTTGGTTTGAAGTTCTATGCTCCGTGGGTAATGAGGCTGATCAAACTGCACTCTACAATCTCATATCAGCCCTCAGCCCGCAACCATCGGATCTTCTTGCCAGATGTGGACACCTCTGCTGAAGCTATATATCCTGAGCCTGCCAAGCAACCGTTGAGTCTTCAGAATGCAGAACACCAGAGCTTCACGCAGAACGTTGAAGGTGTTGAAGCCATCTCCAGGGTGTATCCGTTGGCTGGCACTACACGTGCACCACGCCCTGCATCAACTGAAGCCACTAACAGCACAACTGCTCAAAGACCCAAGAAGCGCGCTCGTGCCCTCAATGACCGAGAGCTTCTTGTGGCCCTTCACCAAAAGCAGGATAGGCATCACGACTGGCTGAAGAGACAGATGAAAAGCCTCTTGGTGGATGTCAATCGCATCAGAAATATTGCCACCAAGAATGCATTCGTTGCACATGAAACATGTCGCCGCACCTGGAAAGGACTCACGTTGATGTGCTCTGAAGCTGATCTTCACGAGGATGGCTTCAGAGAGAGATTCAAGTTTGACTCCACACCCCCCAGAAGAGTTGTGCTGCGCGGAACTCCATCACTTGAAGACTCAGAGTTCTCTTCATTTGCTGCCATGGTGACTGCAAGAATCATCGAGGAAGAAGACGACGCTACATCACCACCACCTCCTTCAGCGCGTGTCGACTCTGCACCAAGCTCTTCCGCACTGCCAAACAACTCCACCGACCCTGCTGCTCATGGGAACGCGTAGAACACTCTATGTCTTCAAACCTTTTTGGTCATCACTGACAAAAGGGGGAGAAGCATATAATGTTGTTAGTCTTCAAGCGGGTCAATATGGGCGGGTGCCTTATATTCTGCTACATTTTGCTTCGTGCTTACAACTCCCATTCTGCTACATTTGCTTCTTTGAGTTGTAACACTTAGACTCGATGGTCGTCTGCTACCTGTTTGTCACCTTGTTTTGCGAAGATAAATTCTGCATGTGCGACGATAAATTCCGCACTTAGATCATTCTGCAGACGTCCATTTTTCATTATGCATGTCATTATCTTCATATACCTTTACATGCATAGTGGATTGTCATCATAAGTTGAAGTGGATCTCCACAAGTACAACCTACCATGTGCATTTGCATTCAAGAAGCAAATTACTTATATGCACATCTTCAGGAGGAGCCCTTGCAGCTTATGAAGACAATTCCTTTACAATTTCACAAATTATATTCCCCGTTGAAAACTTCAACTAGTTTGTCATCAATCACCAAAAAGGGGGAGATTGTAAGTGCATCTAGTGCCACCCCTAGTTGGTTTTGGAGTATTGACGACAAACCTAGTTGAGGGACTAATGTGTTTGTAAGAATTGCAGGATAACACAGGTAGAAGTCCCTCATTGATTCGGTTTTGCTACCAGAGATGACCCCTAAAAATGTACGAAGACATTGAAGACAATGGTGGTATATGAAGATATTCACATTGAAGACTATGACAAGAGAAGACACCACGTGAAGCCTATGGAACTCGAAGACTTAGATCCTTCGTAGTTTTATTTCATTTGTGTTGAGTCATAGGAACCACCATACTGTTAAGTGGGGTCCAAGAGAACCAGTCAGAATGACTGAAGTGATGCCTAATTCAAAACATATGTCTTCGAGCAAAGACTATGAGAGCAAATCTTGTCCAGAGACGGACAAGTCAGCTTTACTTGTAGCCCAAGTAAAGTTGCCGTGTGAGTTCGAAATCTGACCGTTGGAACACGTGTCAGTTCCTTAGTGACCCAGGGTCATTTCGGACAAATCAGGTCGGATTGCCCAGTGGCTATAAATAGTCCACCCCCTACAACCATAAACAGTAGGCTGCTTAGATTTCAGTGCACGGCTTTTGTCGTTGAGAGCAACCCACCTCGAAGCCTTTAAGAGAAAATTCCTAGTGAAGAGAAAAGCCCTAACCACCCAGAGCCAGAGTAAATTGGGCATCACTTAAGTCTTCTTGTCTGAGTGATCTGAAGACTTATTACACTTGAGGACTGTGCATCCTCCAGACGGTTAGGCGTCATGTTCTGAGCATCCAAGAGAAATTGTGGATTGCCGGTGAACGAAGTCTGTGAAGGTTTGGGAGTCTACCTTGAAGACTTACCAGAGTGATTGGGCGAGGTCAGTATGACCTTAGCTCAAGGAGAATACGGTGAGGACTGGGTGTCCTGAGCTGCGTGTTCAGGACTGGGTGTTCGGGACTGTGTGTCCTTTGGTTTAAATACCTAGCCGCTCCAACCAGACGTACAGTTGTCACAGCAACTGGAACTGGTCCAACAAATCATTGTCTTCAACGCATCACTGGTTTCATCTTCACTTCCTTTTAACTTACTGTTATTCATTGCGAAGCCATTGCATGCTTGCTCTATCTTTTGTCCTCACAACGTAACTGTATGATTTGATTGGCTTCATAACTTCTTCCTACCTGATCCTTATTACACTGCAGCTATTTGTCATTGTGCTTTCACTCTATTGAATACTTGACCATGGCTTGCCTAGTGTAATCTAACTTCCGCTGCATAGTGATAGGCATATCTCTACTGTTTGTCTTCATAACTTCCATGTTTTGAAGACTTTCATAAAAATCGCCTATTCACCTCCCCTCTAGTCGATATAACGCACTTTCAGTTTGGGACACATACATTTATATCTGGTAAATCATGTGTGATGAACTTTCCAATCCAACGTTATTGGGTGTTCTAATCGTGCGTGATAAGAGGTCCGAGCGTAGACGTTTCTACCCTTCAAATCATGTGAGATGTATGACAGACCTCACACGTGTATTGTTCTGGTTCATTGTTTGCAATAGCTCAACGATCAACCCATCGCACATATTTAGGGCCAGTTCTTTTGGACGGCTTAAAAAATAAGCCGCTCCAAAAATTTGTTGAGACTTCTAAATTAATTATTTCATAACTAGTTTAGAAGCCCCAATAAATAAGAAAGACGGCTTATGGGAAAAGCTGAGGAGGAGGCGGCTTATTTTTTAAGTTGCCAAAAGAACTGGCCCTTAATACCAAGCCTATCGACCAATTGTGCATGGTTGTGCCTTAACGTGTGCGATGCACCCCCACCCACCTTCCCTTATCACACACCATGGCAAGGCGACGGTTCACAACTATGTGTGCGGTGACCTAATCTACAGTAGTGATTTAAGACAACCATGTGTGACGTATCCTAACTTTTAGCCTGACACTTCACACACGGCCACTGTTGCGATTAGAACATCACACACATTTCAGCCCTAACTGTGTGCAGTGGGGAGGGTGTGAATAGGTTGGTTTCGTAACAGCGATTACGAGACATGTCATCAAAGTCGTTGATGTACTTTGTGTTATAATCTACTACATGGGCGGTACACACCTTGATAGAACAGTATAAGATGGTGGTAGAATAGTCGATTCGGTTCGAGGCGATAAATTAATTAGGGCACGAAAAAGGTCGAGAGTGCGTGCGAATTATCAAGTTAGGTACGTGAGGCCATAGAGAAAGTGGATGCACGCTTTCTATTTGTCGAGATGAGACACGGGAAGCATATGTAAAACGAGATGGAATATGTTCGACACACACTCTTGCAATATCTCTGGCATTAAAGAAGGATATCAAATGGAATCCCACCAAAGGAGGAGCTGCACGTACGCAGTTAACTTGCTCCGTCCATTGAAAGCAAAAGGTGGCTAGCTAGCGATTCCGATCGAGAAGGAATTTCAGGAGATGCTTGCTGGGTGTGCTACCTCACCAAGGCTATAAGTTTAACATTAGCACATGGACAGGATGAACTAGCTAGCTACACCGTCGACCAGTCGAGCTACTACCCAAGCGCCATGGGAGGTGGAAACAAGCAGTGCGGCAACGACACCAACAGCAGAGGCCTTGGGGGCTACTACCCAAGCGCCTACTCGTCTCCGCCCATCGCGTACCCTGCATACCCCCCTCCACAAGCCGGGCATGGATGCCCTCCTGCCTATTACCCTCCACAGCCACAGGGATATGGGCATGGCTATCCATCAGCAGGAGCATACGGGTGTCCACCCTCCAGCTATCCCCACCATCAAGGTGGCTATCACGGTTCGTATCTATCCATCGATCACCACCTACCTAACGTATACCTTGCTAGGCTACTCGATCCATGGATCTATCATGAATGGATATCGATCGTGCAGGTCACGGAGGATCTTTGCTTGTTGCCGGTGGTGCGGCGGCGGCGGCGGCCTATGGCGCGCATCACTTGAGCCATGGCCATCACGGCCACGGCGGATACTACCACCGTCCTGCGGGTTACCATCATCACTACGGCGGCAAGTTCAAGAAGCATGGACGCTACGGCTATGGGTATGGCGGCAAGTTCAAGCATGGCAAGCGCATGCGTCTCTTTGGAGGGAAGCATGGCCTCTTTGGTGGAAAACACAAGTGGAAGTAGTTTCCTTATGGTTCTTCGAAGTGGATATGTCGAGAGGAGTGAACCGATATAATCTTGGGAATAAATCCGTCTATGTAATAATCAACTCCATGATCGATCCATAAATATAAGTTCTGCGCGCGTACGTATGTATGTGAATATCGGTTGCGATTTGCGACGTCGGTGATTAAATCTGTTGCATTTGCTTGGTCCGCACGTACAAATGACGAAAGAAACGCGCGCAGTCCACACCTTGTACGATCGATCTGTAACTACGTACCAGTTTAAACATGCAACCGCGCATCACCTATATATACGTACGTACTCCCATCCCATGCATCTCCTCTCTTGCTTTCGGACAAATTCGATCTTCATAATTAAGTTTGTCTTCTTTCTGCACGACGAGTCGAAGAGTTCGATGATGACCAAGCTCAGCAGCAGCGGCAGCAACAACGTTGATGACGGCTACGAGTACGAAGAAGAATACATCAAGAACGCGCGTGGGATGAAGCTCTTCACCTGCCGGTGGCTCCCCGCCAACGCCAGACCAATCAAGGCCCTCGTCTTCATGTGCCACGGTACGTACGCTAATCGATCGCTACCTTCATCGATGGAGCTGATTAATCTAGCTAGCTAGCACCATTACAACATCATTGATCGATCGACATATGCAGGTTACGCGGTGGAGTGCAGCGTGACGATGCGCGGCACCGGGGTGCGGCTGGCGCAGGCCGGCTACGCCGTCTACGGCATGGACTACGAGGGCCACGGCAAGTCGGACGGCCTCAGGGGCTACGTCCCCTCCTTCGACGTCCTCCTCGGCGACTGCGACGCCTACTTCACCGCCGCCGTCGCCGCCAACCAATCTCCTCAGCTGCCTCGGTTCCTGCTGGGCGAGTCCATGGGCGGCGCGGTGGCGCTGCTGCTCCACCGGGCGCGGCCGTCCTACTGGGCGGGGGCCGTGCTGGTGGCGCCCATGTGCAAGATCACGGAGGAGATGAAGCCGCACCCGGCGGTGATCAAGGTGCTGGAGGCCGTCACCAGGTTCATCCCGACGTGGAAGGTGGTGCCCACCAGGAACGTCATCGGCGCCGCCTACCGGACGCAGGCCAAGCGCGACGAGATCCGCCGCAACCCCTACTGCTACAAGGGGCGGCCGCGGCTCAAGACGGCGCACGAGCTCCTCCGGGCCAGCCTCCGCGTCGAGAGCGAGGTGCTCACGCAGGTGACGCTGCCCTTCCTGGTCGTGCACGGGGGAGGCGACAGGGTCACGGACCCCTCCGTCAGCCAGCTCCTCTGCCGGGAGGCGCCCAGCACGGACAAGACGCTCAAGCTCTACCCGGGCATGTGGCACGCCCTCACCTCCGGCGAGCTGCCGGAGAACATCGACAAGGTCTTCTTCGACATCATCGCATGGCTCGATCACAGGTCCGGTCCGCCCGCGCCCGAGAGGGACGACTGACGCCTCGTGCGCAGCAACCATCATCCATAGGAACTTCTTTTCTTTTCTTTTTGATTGATTCATGATGACAGTGATCCATGAACATTAATTATCAATTATTGTACACTCCAGTTATACATACTACTCCATATATTTAGGGCTACTACTCTCTACATGTGCGTACGTGGAATGAGTTGATTTTTATTACTGTAACTCTAATTTCTCCACAGCCTCCCCACTTCTCTGGTGGAGATCACCAAAGGCCGCAGCCTCCCCTAATAATTCAATAACAAATCAATCAACTGTCGAAGCAACATGCCACAAATCAGCTAACAACAAGAAGCAACAAGACATAAACCAGCCAAACAGAACCTGAATGTGATTAAGCTTCAGAAATTTTCATCTCAAATAGACCAATTCCCTCCCTCCTGCTATATTGCAAATGAAGGAATGGCACCTCACATGTTCCCCTCCATTTTCATCACCCAATGCTACCTTCTACCATGCCAGTTTAGCATAAAGATCGTTATCCAATTAATATAGGTCAGGACCATATATCACTACAGAAAAACAAGAACACACGCAATGCAATGCCAGATCCATTTAGCTGATTTGCATTGCAGCCGAGTGGTACTTGTCCAAGTCGGCGTCGAGATCTGCAGCAGAAAGTTCCAGGATGCGACCCCCTCCCTTCCCTCGCTCACGGTCCGTACGCCCTCGGCCACGACCACCGAACCCACCTCCGCTGCGACCACTGAAGCCACCTCCACCACGAGACCATCCTCGACCGCTAACACCCATTCCAGGTCCACTGCAAAATTTATTACTGATTTGTCACTTGCTCAAAATCTTCAGAGTAATACACAGTTGAAATTCTTGATTTAGACGGCAATGAAGTTTTAACATAATGATAACTACCTATGGCTGCTTCAAAAGGGAGTCAATTCAGCTCCCATCTATGTTGGCAAATTTTGCATTCTCTTATTTCTATGATGTCGAGGTCCTACTGTACAATATAAATAGTTTCTGCATAGCACCTGGGGTAGATGCTACAAACCTTTTGGAAGGAAAACTGAAGTTTCCAGGAGATGGAGCCAAAGCGAAAATAGCAGGTATGGGTGCAGGTGCCTCAATGTTTGTCCCAATGACTTCAATTTTCATAGGTTTGCCATCAAGATGCACGTTGTTATACTTCTTAAGAGCAGCTACGGCAGATGATCTTGCCGAAAATACAACCTCTGCAGTTCCCTGGAAAAATGGAGATCCAGTAATGGAGATGAATCATGAGTTCATGACCATTCAAACAAAATACAAGGTGAAGAAAGTGCATGTGCAAACCTTTGATCTTCCACTCTTGTCATAGTTAATGGAGTACCGCTGGATTTCACCCATCTCAGAAAACAGTTCCTGAGCAAAGTAAACAGGACATTGTAGAGAAACTTTAGGAGAAGGAGACGATAAACAGAGAGAAGTTAGCGATTGCTCTGAAGGCCTAAAGATAAATAACTCTCAGCTAACAGCTACAGTAAAGGAAGGTGAAAGAAAGCAAATTTCTATACATAAGCTAGAACCAGTGCATGATTGTGTCAGTGAAGAATGCAAGCCATTACAAAAAAGGAACTGCGGATGACGGAATTGCCTACGAACTCGTTGAAATCTCTTGAGTTGAATGTATGGGGAGTTTGTTAGGGACAGCAAATCAAGGAAAAGTGCAGTTTTTAGGGATTATTAACTATAGCAGAGAAGACTGCAATTAGGATAGGAGCGTTAGCGACCTTGATATCCTCGTTGGAGACGTTGTAGTCGAGGTTGGAGATGTAGAGCTTGGTGGGCGAGTCCAAGGCAGACGGCGCCGTCACCATGGCCATCGGCTGGGCAACATATCCGAAAGCCGGCGGCACCTGTGCTCCCCACGACCATGAGAGAGGAAAGAAGATTTGAGTGAGCTGTTGCTGGAGGCTACTTAATCACGAGGAAGAAGGGGGGGAGGAGGAGGAATGGACCTGTTGCGGGAGGCTGAGTTGGTGGTAGGGCGCGGCGACGGCGCGGGTGGCGGCGCGGCTGCGGAAGCGGCGGCGTGGGTGCGCGGATCCTCCCGAGGCGGCGGACGCTGGGTTGTGGCGGCCACGGCGGTGATGGTGCTTGTTCTTGGTGATGATGTCGTCGAGCGACATGTCGAGGGTGTCAGCCATGCCACGAACCCTCAGGATTCGCACGGCGGCGGCGGAGGAACAGAAGAGGAGGCGCGGTTGGGTACTTGGGCTGTTGGGGTTGGGTGTGTGGAGACGACAGCTGGAGGGAGAGAGAGAGAGAGAGAAGTGAAGTTTGTGCCGGGCTGGGTTGGGCCGATTGTTCAATCTGGCTATTGTGTAGTAAGTACATGCGTATATTGGATCCACTCAAGTACGGCATGTATAGTTTAGGAGGTTGTCTCAAAAAAAAAATGTATTAGTTTAGGAGGAAGGTTATATTCCTTTAGGACGGTATGGAGCAAGGAGGAAGGTTATAATTGAAGATATTTTGGAAATCCCGATATCCACCAATGGTTTCATCAACACATTTATATAGGATGTTTAGATTGTAGACAAGCCCTCCAATACAACCGTCATTGTCGCTCCAGTTAGACCAAATCATTTTTTCTTTGCGGGGAGTAAGACCAAATCATTGGCTTCACCCTCTGAAAATTTGTGTAAGATCTATGTTGATGCGACACTTACGAGGAGTGGTTCAATTGGAGTTGTCGCGGAGATCATCTTGGGTCTTATCTGGTGCATTTGCAATTATTTTTGATCCAACAACGCTTGAAGCACTAGCAGTTGCGAAGGTTCTAGACCCGGTGGATGATCTATACGAGAGGCGGATCCATGTGGCATTAGATTGCAAGGTTGTTATTAATGATATCAACCAAGGAAGCGCAACAATCTATTGTGCTATTATCAGATTAATATATGAGCAGTCCGGGTTTTTTTAATAGTTGCATTTCCAGTCATGAGTTTACGAGCTCAATGTCGAGGCTCACAATTTAGCGAAGTATGCTCTCTCTTTAAGGGCTAGTCGCCATGTTTGGTTAGGCCAACACGTTGATCTTACTTTCATTCTTGTAAAAGTTATGACGAGTTAATAAAAAGCTTCGCGAGATTGTCTCAAAAAAATGCATCGTTAATTCGCTATAGTATTATGTTATGTGTGTATTGCGTGTATGCTACCCTAGGAGAATAGGGTTTAATGTACTTTTCTGACTCCCATCGGCATCGAGGTTACTCTATCTTTGAGCCGACAACCAACCCCCTTCTTGATAGCGCTTTGCCTGCCTAATCCTCTCACGATGGCGGGGTCCTTCATGGGATCTGAAGGAGAGGTGAAGGAAAAGGCAAGGGCATGGCTAGAATCAATCTGGAAGAAGATACGAAGAGGATGAAGTTGAAGGACGCTGCTACATGACGTGTTTGTCGGCGAGGAGGAGATCATTGACCTCTCTGAAGTGGCGAGATGGTTGACCGTAGCAAAGGTGAATACACACAAGTTCTTCAATCCAGATTCTTTCAAGGACACAATGGGGTATGCTTGGAACCTGACGCACAAACCAGAAATTAGGGAGGATAGCGATGATCTCTTCATGATCCAGTGCTTCTGTCTGGGAGATTGGAACAAGATCATGCAACACGGACTGTGGATTTTTCGTGGTTTGGTGGTAATGATTGAGGAGTATGATGGAAATGGCAGACCGGGTTCAGTTACTCTAGAATTTATAGTTGTATGGACACAAATTCATGATATCCCATATCTCTACCGGTCCCAACGCATAGGAGACCAGCTAGCACAGAGAATTGGCTAGGTCAAGAGTGTAGAGTTGAACCTAGCTAGGGGTTATGAAGGAAACGGTGTCCGAGTCAGGGCCAAGATTGAAGTATCAAATCCTCTGACCCGATTTACACGGCTGAATGTCAATGGCAAGGAGATAATTTTTCTGTTGGTAAAATATGAAAAACTTGGCTACTTATGTCTGTGGCATCCTAGGCCACATAACATGGAAGAGTGTGGAGATGGATTCCATGGGACATAAAAGAGATAGAGTATGGCAACTGGTTGATGGCACGGAGTAGATCCTTTCCGAGCGGGCAAGGCAACAACCAAGGTGGTTTCACTGCACGTGCAAGGGGCAAGCCTTTTAGATGGATGCGGGGCAGAGGTCGTGGTGGTGGCTGATACGTCTCCATCGTATCTACTTTTACAAACACTTTTGACCTTGTTTTGGACTCTAACTTGCATGATTTGAATGGAACTAACCCGGACTGACGCTGTTTTTAGCAGAATTGCCATGGTGTTATTTTTGTGCAAAAATAGAAATTCTCGGAATGACCTGAAACTTCACTAAGAATATTTTTGGAATTTATAAAAAGTACTGGAGAAAGAATCAACACTAGGGGGCCCACACCCTGTCCACGAGGGTGGGGGGCGCGCCCACCCCCCTGGGGCGTGCCCCCTATCTCGTGGGCCCCCTGAGGCTCCACCGACCTCAACTCCAACTCTATATATTCATGTTCGGGGAGAAAAAAATAAAGGAGAAGGATTCATCACGTTTTACGATACGGAGCCGCCGCCAAGCCCTAATCTCTCTTGAGAGGGCTGATCTGGAGTCCGTTCGAGGCTTCGGAGAGGGGAATCCGTCTCCATTGTCACCATCAACCTTCCTCCATCACCAATTTCATGATGCCCACCTCCGTGCGTGAGTAATTCCATCGTAGGCTTGCTGGACGGTGATGGGTTGGATGAGATTTATCATGTAATCGAGTTAGTTTTGTTAGGGTTTGATCCCTAGTATACATTATGTTCTGAGATTGATGTTGCTATGACTTTGCTATTGTAACGCCCTCGATGCGGCTATATCTCCTACATGTCGAAGCACGACTTAGAGGCATAACCGCATTGAAAGCAATGTCGCAAGTAAGGTAATCTTCACAACAACCCATGTAAATAGATAATAAGGGGAAAGGTACATAGTTGGCTTACACTCGCCACGTCACACAAAGTACATAAATAGCATTACAATCATCCAATACACTCATGGTCCGACTACGGTACCAAAATAAAAGATCAACCCCAACATGCGACACGGCCCCGATCGCCCCAACTGGGCACCACTACTGATCAACAGGGAAAGACACATAGTAACGGCGTGAGTCTTCGTCGAACTCCCACTTGAGCTCAAGCGCATCATCTGGAACGGAGTCATCGGTTCCTGCATCTGGTTTGGAAGTAATCTGTGAGCCACGGGGACTCAGCAATCTCGCACCCTCGCGATCAAGACTATTTAAGCTTATAGGTAAGGCAAGGTAATATGTGGAGCTGCAGCAAGCGACTAGCATATATAGTGGCTAACCTGTTTGCAAAAGAGAGCGAGAAGAGAAGGCGAAGCGCGAACGAAGAATTATAGAACAACCTACGGCAAACATTACTCCAACACCGTGTTCACTTCTCGGACTCCGCCAAGAAGAGACCATCACGGTTACACACGCAGTTGATTCATTTTAATTAAGTTAAGGTTCATGTTATCTACAATCGGACATTAACAAATTCTCATCTGCCCATAACCGCGGGCACGACTTTCGAAAGTTCAAATCCCTGTAGGGGAGTCCCAACTTAGCCCATCACAAGCTCTCATGGTCAACGAAGAATAAACCTTCTCCCAAGACATTCCGATCAGACTCGGCATCCCGGTTCTACAAGACAACTTCGACAAAGATAAAACAAGTCCAGCAACACCGCCCGAATGTGCCGACAAATCCCGATAGGAGCTGCACATATGGCGTTCTCAGGGCACACTCAGATGAGCTCTCCATACAACTAAAATCAAACCTCGAGTTTCCCCGAGGGGGCGCTGCACAGGACTCTAGTTTGGACCAACACTCAGAGGAGCACTGGCCCGGGGGGGTTTAAATAAAGATGACCCTCAGGCTCCGGAAACCCAAGGGAAAAAGAGGCTAGGTGGAAAATGGTAAAATCAAGGTTGGGCATTGCTGGAGGAGTTTTATTCAAGGCGAACTGTCAAGGGGTTCCCATTATCACCCAACCGCGTAAGGAACGCAAAATCCGGGAACTTAACACCGATATGACGGAAACTAGGGCGGCAAGAGTGGAACAAAACACTAGGCAAAAAGGCTGAGCCTTCCACCCTTTACCAAGTATATAGATGCATTAAAAAATAACAAGATAATATAATGATATCCCAACAATAAACAATGTTCCAACAAGGAACGATCTCCAATCTTCACCTGCAACTAGCAACGCTATAAGAGGGGCTGAGCAAAGCGATAACATAGCCAATCAACGGTTTGCTAGGACATGGTGGGTTAGAGGTTTGACATGGCAATTTGGGAGGCATGATAAGCAAGTGGTAGGCAACGTAGCATAGGCATAGCAAAAGAGCGAGCATCTAGCAAGCAAAGATAGAAGTGATTTCGAGGGTATGATCATCTTGCCTGCAAAGTTGTCAGAGTTGACTTGATCCTCGTAAGCAAACTCAACGGGCTCCTCGTTAGCGAACTCGTCTCCCGGCTCTACCCAAACAAGACAAACAAGCAAAAGGAACACAATCAACCACGTGCAAAGCTCAAACAACATGATGCAAATATGGTATGCTATGCGGGATGCGATATGTGATGCATATGCAAGATTTGACAAGGAATGATTGAAACTGGCCTCAACTTGGAAATCCAAGAGTGCCACTGGAAATGTGAGGTGATTTTGGTTGAAATCGATGTAAAGAACACCGGAATCGGATGCACGGTTTGGAAATGGCAAGCAAAACAAATATGGCAACGGTCTGCAATAAACAGCAAGTAGCCATCTAAATGCATCAAGATAAATATGCTACAACACTCAAACATGGCAACAAAATACATGGCAGGGATCCACTCATGATGCTTGGCAAAAGATGAACACTGAGCTACGACCAATTCATCCATTAACAGGTTCAAACAAGCATGGCAAAAGTGCAAATGGTAAACAGGTTTCAGACTTAGTGAAATTAACACAAGTCTGGAATTTCAGATTAGGTAGCACACTTTGGAGCATGAAAACTATATGCTACATGAACTTAACATGGCAAAGCAAGGCATGACATGAAGCTACTCAAAGCACTTAACAAAACTCCCTTAGTGACCTTGAGCCAAAAGGGATCAGAAAATACAAT